AGATGATCAGAGATGGACCAGGTCTCCTTTGAGGACAGGCTGAGAGAGTTGGGGTTGTTCAGCCTAGAGAAGAGAAGGCTCCAGGGAGACCTTATTGTGACCTTTCAATACATGGAAACATTCAAGGTCAGCTTGGATGGGGCTCTGAGCAACCAAATTTAGAGGAAGATGCCTCTGCTCACTGGAGGGGGTTTGATCTCTACAACCTTTCTATTACTCCCTTAAGGCATAATATCTGGAGAAAAAAAAAAATCAATATGGAAAGAACATTGTTCAAAGCTCTTGGGAAAATGAGACATGATAAAGTAATGCTTCTCTTCTAAAAAGCATTCATAGGGCCTGACTAGGCTATGTCAGTTTCTACAATGAGAATACTCTGTGTAAGAGCAGCAGTTAGTAAAACCTGTTGCAATGACAGGAGATGGAGAAACCCACCCATAGCCTATTGAGCACAGAGCACACACCAACACAAGTGAGCTCACAGCAGCTGCCCTGAGCATGGCTGTGCTGTACTGTGGCAGGCTCTTGCTCATCTTCACTTACAAGGCCGACCCCGACAGCCATTCCAGGGAGTACTTGTTTACAGGCAGCGTAGCTGGGCTTGTTGCAGACATAGTTTTTTGTGCCAGAAAAAGAAAATTGCAATTTTAAAATGGATTATTATTGTTTATACTTCCATGAAGCAGGAGTTGTCTACAGTTAACAGATAGGATACTCAAGTCAGTTTAGCTTTCTCTCCTAGTGGCTTTAAAAAGCTGCTCTTATTTTTATTTCTTCCCAACACACATTTCAGCTTGAAGGTATTTTCATTAGCAAATCAATGCTACTGCACTTTGTGGCAAACACACGTTGAACACTCAGGCTTATTTTGTATTCTGATTTTCTTTGAAATCACTACAGTTACTTGGATAACCAAGTAAACTACTCTGGGATTTAGGAACACCACAATCCATTTAAGGTACACATAAGCAACAATGGATGCCTGAAGTACTTCCCTTCCTTTTGGATAAAGCACAGAAAACCAGTCTACTGAAAGTTAAGGGAAGAATTACGCATTAACCCCTGTTACAAGAGATGACCTCAAAACAGACCACTAAGAACTAATTTTGAGGAAGCCGGCACTATTGAGTAGAACAAAACTGTCTTAGTACAAATATGATAAATGGAATACACTGCACAGTGTATTCTGAACAGTAAAGTATCCATGTAAAGCATAAGTTTTAATGTTCCTCATACTCAAGGTGGCTCCATAGCAAATGGAAGGCTCAATGGATACTCATTGAAATAGGAGGAATCTGCTGACTGCAGAAGCAGACTGCCAGGATTTGTGTGGCTCAAAAGTGACTTTCTTTAGAAAGATCCTAGGTCTATGCATTGGTTTACATGCACAAATTATGTGCATGAATTCCTTTGTTATATGGGAATCTGCAAAGAAATCTTCTTTGCAAAGAAGGAAACAGCATCTGAGAGAGGCAGCAGTGACAGTAACAACTTCAAAAAAGAAGACTTCTAAGAGTGGTGCAGCTATCCTACTCTTCACAACTTCCAACAGGCTGGTTTTTCATTCTGGTTTGACCTTTAGTATTGACCATTCTTGCTGGACAGCCCTTTGGATGGTTTGTTTTTACAAAATACGAGGGCTGTAAATCATCAAACTTTTAAAAGTGAAAACAAAGTATTCTTCCTCAAGGGGCAGTTTCTAGTACTCCAGTTTTAGGAACCAAATTAATCCGCCTGACATGTTATATCTAGGCTTTGCAACTATCTCCATTGCACTGCTGTGCAAAACTAATCTAAAGAGAATTGGTTGCCAATTCTCACTTCTGTCATCATTAAGTCAGCAGGAAGAACTGGTTATACGAAATAAATTAAAAACTTAACTATAATGAGGACAAATGCAAGAGCTGTACTACCTGATGACAAGCATTTGGAACATGGTTTCTTTTCCCTTTAACTAAAAAAAGTAAGCATTATCTTTTGTTGCAATGCTCAGAATTTCTGAGCTTTATAAAAAGTTTTTAGAATACATAGATATCCCTTTAGAAAATCTTAATATTCTAAATCATCAACAGTGTGTAAGTATAAATTAAAATAAATAGTAAACATTTTCCCCACTTGATTTTGGCCATACAGACGCTTGAATACATCTGAGTTTATAATAAGGTTATCCAGTATTACCATTTTCTGTTGTAGAATTACCAACTCATACCTTCTAAACAATAACTAATTAGCCTACCTTCAAAGACATCTGTCATTTTGCAGATGTGAGCAAAGTTAGCTCCATTTGCCCATGTATACACAACATCCATTAGGTTGGGTCTGAAAGAATTCAAATAATTTTCTTCATCAATTTCCAGTTTTGCTTCTGCTGATACCTTGGCGATTCTTTTTGCACACTCCTTTAAAATAAAATATTTTATATTTATAATATACTTAACCAGAGTAAGAATTTAACTGACAATGCACATTATTAGATACTGCATTACAGGATAAGGTTTTCTTTTTCATATGAAATTACTCAGAATCAGAAAGTAAACCACTGTTTATATGAAGTCTGCCTACACTAAGAATCTGCAGTGTAGCAAGCAAGCTTATAAAACTTTTAGAGGCATGTCCTAAATTAGCATAAAGATTTCTTGCAAACATATAATGTATTATTAATTACACATTGCAAAATCACATGCAGTGCCAGCTGAATTCACTGATGATCCAAAATTAGGTCTTTACCGTACACTTATTATACATTACTTATGAACTTTGCTCATGTTAACATTAACCCTGAGCTCAGACAGATTTCTAATTACCTGCATTTGCCGAAGTGGTCCTGCCAGCTGCTCAGTCAATTTTGGCATTTCACTGGACTGAAAAAGAAGACATTAAACAATCTCAACTGCTCTCATACATTTGCTCTATACTAAATTTAATACAAAACTAGAAGTTCAATGTGTGCTACCCTACTTTATTCCAATAAATTCTCAAAGGTGTTGCCAAACACTAAAATTACTGAATTCCCCAAATGCTTGTTCCTCAAGCTAGATCAGAAAACAAAATCTTTTTGTATAGTATACCAAAACAACAAAATCTTTCTGTATAGTATATTATGAAAAGCAGCACCTGCT